TCGAAGTTGTACTTCATTTCGTAACAGTTTGCTTTTGGTTCACAAGATTTTCATTTTTTAGAGAAACTTGATAATCGCTGTGACAATCAATGTCTTCTTCAAGCTCTCTATCGCATCGAGTCATTCTATCAGAGTGAGTATCCTTTTGATGGGTAATTCATACTTTTTAGTGTCCCAAAATCTTTTAAAGTATGCCAAAAACTTTGGCATCACCTTAGGTTATAATTGTCGCAGACTTTTGCTTCGTGACGCTCTCTTTTCTTCTTCTTCTAATGATCTCTGCGCGTATGACGTTTATGCGGCCGTTCTGCAGCCTTTTATTGTTGGTGGTGTATTAACACATGGTCACAAGCGGAAAAGAGTTCAACGTTGTAAACGTTGCTTTAAACGGCGTCGTCGGTTGTCGATCAAGCGCTGTTGTGTTATTTCTCCTGAAAATGAAAGGAAAATAAACCAGGTTATGCAACCATTCCTTAATCATTACGACTTATCCACTTCGGCTCTTGATGGTCATGGCAACTGGACCGTATCCATCAGTGGTTTCTCATCCCCAGCGCCTCCAGCTCTTGGTAGGCGATGGTTTCTTAGTGCATTTTTGGTCACCGGTTCGTGGTAGTGTCACAAAAGTTTTTGTGACTTTTTTTCATTGAAATGTCTACTTCCACAGGTAATTGGAGGTCTTTCCTTTCCACTGAAGCTGCTGCTTCCGTTGACACATTGGAATTAATAATGCCTTCTGTGAATGAGCTGCAGCTGCCTCTCTCTCCGAATCAGTCCCTAATACTTTCACGAAGGAAGCGTCGTTTGGGTTTTACGGATGATTATCATCCTTACAGTACGTTTTGCGTATTTTAGGAATAAACTATACCGATTTGTCTAATAGTCTGTATGATGTCCTTATTCCTTTGATATCCTTATTGGTAGCATTCAGCTGCACGTTTGGCAGTGCAATAGCTCATCCTCTGCAGCTTCTAAGCATTTAATGCATTGAGTGATTTATGTATGTTTAGTTTTTATTTTCGTACTTGGTTGTCGTTATGATGCTGTTATAAGTTTGATTAGATTCGGAAACCTATCGCTAGCATGTACATGCGCATGCCTTTTTGTGAAGTTTATCTGGTTTATTGAATTTTCTTACTGCAGGTCTCATCGATTCAATGTCAAAATTTTGCTTGCATTCAAATTCAAAGATCCAGTGCCTGGAATCTGTGATCGACGCTGACATCCGCGAGGATATCCCATGATAAGCCGATCGAAACATTTAATGTAGATAATGGACATTTTCTTCTCTGGTTAGTCCTTTCTAATGTGTTATTCACAGCTGTAGCCTGTTTGGTAGCAGGCGCTGTTGGTATGCACTGTTCAATTACAATAATATCCACGTCATGAACAGTTTCCAAAACCTAAAATGATATGTAATGAATCTACCGCACCTGTTGCTTCGGTTTCTTATGCCTACTCCAATGGTACTTGCCTTAGTGCTGTGATCCCTACTCTCTTTGCATACCTCACACGCTCACTTCGTAGGTCATGCTTGCTTAAGAACATGACATTTTCTTTTAGGACGTATTCTTCGCCTCCTCTCTTCCATTTCAGTGCAAACCGATACTTGGTCCTGCTTTATTTTTTATCATTACCTGCATAATACACATAGTTTTACTTCGCATAAAATTTTTGAATGGGCAATTTGGGTTTTATTCTCAGTTGGCAGTCTACCTTTAGTTGTGTCCGAAGGGACTTTTGCATTTGCGCGCATTAGACGCCTTAGCAGTCAAGCCTGGACTGGGTTCGTGGAATGGGGCCAGACGGGCTTAGGGATTTTTGCAGTGCACTTCTTTCGTTTTTGCTCTTACGGTGGGAAATGCAGTGTTGGCGCATCAGCGCTATTCGGCAGACTTCCGAACTACTCCGTTGTTTGCTCTGTGGACGTGTCAATCTCGATAGCGGTTCTGGGCCGGGAGTGATGGCGCATGTGCTCGTGGGCGATTATCATTCGAGTGGATTTGATTTTTATCCTGAACAGATCTGGGGTCCGGTTTTTCTGGGTCTGCAGGTTAATTCG